ACCCCAGGCCCGGAGAGCCTCGTGGATCCTTAGTTAGGCAGAGACTATCTAAGCACACCTCCAAAGTTGGGTACAAAAATTTAAAGGTTAGCTACTTCCAAGGTTGGATACCTGAGGGACATTCCCATCTGTTCACCCGTGGCACATCAGGGCGACAGGCATGTAAATCACCCTTTCTCCCTCCAACTACCCCACCGGCAAAGGCAGGAGGGAAACTCAGCTCTTTCTGACTCCGAAGCCCCAAGGTCCTGGCCCCTGGGCTCCGTCGCTGCCCCGTTGGGTCTCAGGGAGGGACTGAGGCGCGAGCTGGGAGGGGAGGAGGAAGCCCGACGCCCAGGACTTGCCTGTCGCTCTGCGGGTGCTCCATCGTTAGGGGACGGTCACGCTGGCTGTTGGCTGCTGGCTGCTGGCTACTGGCTGTTGCTGGCGGCTGGCTGCCGGTTGCTGGCTGCTGGCTGCGCGGACGGCGGCGCTGGAGACGCTCGGCAAGAGGCGGGCAGTGACTGTGTGGAGCTCAAACCGCGCCGCCCATTTATGCTCGGGGCGGGTCACGTGAGCCCGGTGGAACAGCTGATGCCCACTTTCTGGCCCGACGTTGCGACACCCGCAGGGGCCCCAGCGCCCCGCCCATCCCGGCCAGCGCGGGTGGAAGGGAGTAGTCATATGACCCTTGGAAAACAAAGCCTGGCCACAGGACGTTTAGCGAAAAAATAAACCAACTTAAGGAAATGTGAGCAGCTCCCGGGTCTGGGTGTGATTGTGCCCCTTCCAGAACACCCCACCCCACGCACCCCAGGAATCCAGAAGGTTCCAGAGCGTTAGGAGGCAGCACTGCTTAGAGCAGGAGGCTGGTCAGCAACATCAGAATCTTAGCACCCCAGACCCTGCAGTGTCCGGCTGCTCTGCCCCAGAGTTTGCTCCCTAAAATATCACCTCCTCCAGTAACCTCATCCTCAGCTGACAGCCAGCCTGCTCACACCCTCCTTAAATGTATATTTAGGGCCTGGCTTATGAGCACCTACTATGTACTGTTAATATGGTCCATCCCCACAATTACCCTGTGGGGGTAGATAGTTCCCATTTTACAGGTGGGAAAACTGAGGCTCAGGGAGATGAAGTGGTGTGCCCAGGGTCACACATAAAGCAGGAAGCCAGAGTCCAGACCTAGAGAGGAATGGAAGTCTCCACCTGCCTCCTCCATACTCTGATAGCACTTGGTACACATCTGGCCTGGGACACCTATCATACAAACTGTCTACCTGATGGACATGTGGGACATTCTCTCAGTGTTTGTCAGCTCTGATTTGTGTCTTATCCCCAGTGACCACTTAGGGACTGGGGTGGAGCTGGCACTCACTGATAACCTGTTGAATTGATTCTGCATGACAGGGACTGCTCCCGACTAGGGGGACACAGTGTCACCGGATGAGCCCAGTTGGCAAAACAGACCAGATGATTCCTGAATTCTCTTCCCAATGCCACAATTCTCATTCTAAGCATTTTTGGTTTTTTTAATTAAGGTGACCTTCAGTCTTGATAATGACTAGAAATGGAGGTAGCAGGTGTCCTCTGCCTCCCCCATCCCATAAAGAAATGTGAGGCCAGGCCAAGTGGCTCACACCTGTGATCCTAGCACTCTAGGAGTCCCAGGCCGGTGGATTCCCTGAGCTCAGGAGTTTGAGACCACTCTGAGCAAGTGTAAGACCCTGTCTCTACTAAAAATGAAAAACTGAGGCAAGAAGATTGCTTGAGTCCCAAGAGTTTGAGGTTGCTGTGAGCTATGACTCTACGGCACTCTGCCAAGGGTGACAAAGTAAGACTCTGTCTAAAAAAAAAAAAGAGAGAAAGAAATGTGAGTGTACCAACTTAAGGGTTATCTTCCCTTTACAAATGAGGAAATTGAGACAGAGAGATTAAGATAAGTGTTTAAACTCTGGCAGCCTGGCATGAAGACTTCAAAACTTCCTAGAAACCAGGCAAGTGCCCAGAGGCACTTCCAAGATTGTTTTATTTTTTCATTTTTTGAGACAGAGGTTCACTTTGTCACCCTCAGTAGAGTGCCATGGCACCATAACTCACAGAAACCCCAAACAAGCTATCCTCTTGCCTCAGTCTCCCAAGTAGCTGAGACTACAGGCACCTGCCACAATACCCACCTATTTTTTAGGGATGAGGTCTTGCTCTTACTCAGGCTGTCTTGAACTCCTGAGCTCAGGCGATCCATCCACCTCAGCCTCCCAGAGTGCTAAGATTACAGCCATGAGACACCACACTCAGTCCCAAGATTCTTTTTTTTAGACAGAGCCTCAAGCTATCCCCCTGGGTAGAGTGCTGTGGTATCACAGCTCACAGCAACCTCCAACTCCTGGGCTCAAGTGAGTCTCCTGCCTCAGCCTCCCAAGTAGCTGGGACCACAGGCGCCCGCCACAACGCCTGGCTATTTTTTGATTGCACCCATTATTGTTGTTTTCGTGGGCCCGGGCTGGATTCAAACCCACCACATTAGGTGTATGAAAGTGTTCTTGGACCCCTTCAAGGGGTGCTTATCTCTTACAGTGTATGTGGCTGGCGCCTTAGCCACCTGAGCCACAGGCGCCGAGCCCCAAGATTCTTTTAGAAAGGATCATTCTCCTTTGCCCTCTAAAACTTCACTGAAAATCAACTGACAAAAGGCAGAAAATCAACTGACGAAAAGAGAAAAGGCTTACAAAATTTCATTTTAACTTGCACAGCATGGAGAATTGTAGGAGAATGATTATCCCATAACCCAGGGATACAGCAGATTCTATGCCCTTTTTCATAAGGGAGGGAAGAGATGGGGGATGCAGACAATTCTGTGTTTTTTTATTAGAGCTGGGATCTCATCTCGCTATGTTGCCCAGGTGGTAGACAATCCTTTTGAGGGACAGCAAATCAGGGAGAAAGACTAGACCTGGGAGATAGAAGGCAAACATTGTGCAGACAGAGGTAACTATGGCTGGAGCTGCCCTCAGAATAGTTGGGAAGTCTGTGTATAGAGATAACTCCCACGCTGTTCTCTCCCCCAGGGGTTGATCTTTCCTGATTATTTGGGGAGATCTCTAGAAAGAGGTTTTAAAACAATCTGGAAAGAAGTTTTCTTGGTCAGATAAGGACATTTCAGAGAAAATGCCATATCCGAAGGCAGGAGTAGGAAGAGGTGGAGACTAGGTTAGAGGGACCTTCACTCTGAGGCCTGTGATCTGAGTCCTCTCAGAGCATCAAAGGGCCTGTCTTAGGGTGTCACTTTCCAAGCCCCAACAACAGCAGGTAAAGCCCAAAGACAGGGACCTTGTCTGCTCTGCTTTGTAAATGCTCAGAGCCTGAAACAGTGCCTGGCAGGTGGCAGGCAGTTAATACTGAATGCATGAATAGACATACACTAGGAGGTCCCTTTCTGGGAAAAATATTTTTATAATATTGCTAGGCTGATAGAAAGAACTGGAACCAAGCTATAATCCCAAACCGTGATCCTAGCCAACCTTATTGAGTGCTTGCTTTGAGTGGATAATTTATGTGTGTGACCTCATCTGATTTTGACAGTAACCCTGCAAGGTATGTACAATCATCAGTTTCATCTCCATTTTGGTCACATAAACACTGAGGCACAGAGAGGTTAAACAATTTTTCTAAGTCCCACAGCTAGTGATAGCAGGGCCAGGATTCAGCCTACAGCGGTTTGAAGCCAGCCTTCAGACTCCTGACCACCACACCCCAGCCCCTCTCACAGAGGGTCCAGGGATTAGAGGAGACGATCCTGACGGTCTGAAAGCTTGCCACCTGCATATCCAGAGCCTGTCAATTCAGGGGCCTCAAAAGATGAAGCTCATGTTCTCTGACCCCTTTCTATTTAATGCAGGGCAGCAGAGATCCCCCCCCCAAGACGGAGAGAGACTTGGCCAGGCCACACCTGCATTACAGACAGAATGTTAAGTGATCCAGAGTTCCAGCGTCCTGGTCCAGGCTTGTTCCCTTTTCCAACAGTTTCCTGGGAGCCTAAGACTTAGCTAGAACAGACTCCCCACACAGAGAATGCTTAGGTGGGGGAGGGCAGGAGAGGCCTGGTTCTCTCTTCTGCCCCAGTACTGAGTGCCCGGCACTTTTCAGGCTAGTTCAGTTTCCTGACTTTTCCTTTCCCTTCCTCAAGCCACCAATTGATGCAAATGCTATTCTTCCTTCTCCTGTAGTGGGTTGAATAACAGCCCCTCAAAAGACTTCCACACGCTAATCCCCAGAATGTATAAATAAATTACCTTAATTGACAAAAGGATTTTGCAGATGTGATTAAGTGAAAGCTCTTGAGATAGGGAGATTATCCGGGATTATCCTCAGGGGCCTGCTGTAACCATAAAGGTCCTTATAAGAGAGAGGCTGGAGGGTTAGAGATACAGAAGGTGATGCGTGCTGCCAGGAAAGCAGAGGGACCAGAGAGATTGGAAGATGCTGTGCTTCCAGTTCTGAAGATGAAGGACGGAGCCACCAACCAAGGAGTGCAGGCAGTGTGTAAAAGCTAGAAAAGGGGAAAAAATGGATTATTTTCTGGAGCTCCAGAAGGAACACAGCCCTGTCGACCCACATGAAGACTTGTGACCTGCAGAACTCTAGAGAATAAATCGATGCTGTTTTAAGCTACAGTGTTTGTGGTGCTCTGTCGTAGCAGCAATAGGGAACTCATACCCTATTCAAAGCCTGCCTTACTCATTCCTGGATGGATCCTAGGCTTTGGGAAGCAGAGAGGAACAGATAGAGACCCTGAGGACCCTGGTGGTGATGGGAGTTCTCCCTCCACTCCTTCTCCTGCTTTCCTGGTTATGTATCCTAGCATGATGTCTGCCACTCCCCATTCAGGCTTTACTTTGGAGATAACCCACCACTCTCTTCTCAGGGTTTTCTTTTTAGAGGCAAACACTTGGGCAGAGACTATGGGCCAGCTCTGTGTTTGTGCTGAGATCCAAAGCTGAAGATGATAGGAGCCCACCTTGACAGAGCATGTGTGTGTACTCAGGAGCCTAATGGAGGAAGTCTAAGAAGTAGGGACGATGACCCAAAAGAGGAGCAGGCCACACAAAACCCACATGGGGATGGTAACTGGAAGGCGACTTTGAGTCTGCTCTGAGCCATGCATTCTCCCAAGCATGGTCTCATTTAATCCTTACTGAATTTAGGAAGTGGGGGCAGGGTTACTATGGTGGGCAGAATAGCGCCCCCTAAGATGTCCATGGTCTAGTACCTCAACCTGTGAATATGCATAGGTTTGAACAGGTTAATTACACTTTGCAGATGTAATTACTGTTACAGACCCTGAAACAGGGAGGTTATCCTATCCTAGCTTCTAATCACACAGCCCTACTTTCTCTGGCTGGGGGCAGAAAAGAAGGGGCAGATGCAGAAAGCAAAGAGATGCTAAGTGTGAGGACTCCG